AAGACTCCATCAAAAAATGACTATAACTAATAAATGAATTTGGCAAAGTAGCAGGATACAAAATTAACACCCAGAAATCTATGGCTTTTTATACACCAACAATGAACTCACAGAAAGAGAAACTACAAAACAATCCCATTTACCATTGCATGGGGTAGGAGGGGGACAGTGATGGGCAGGCCTTTGCTCCGCGCCTCCCCTCCTCTTCCCCTCCCCTCCCCTCCCGGCCTCGGGCAGGAGCGGGGCTTTTAGGATATTCCTATGCTGGTTGCTTTAATTCTGGAAACTTGTAGGGTCAGGTGAAAACGAAACCAAGGGAAGCGTGCCATGGCCCGAATGTGGGTCTAGTGGAGTCTCAGGAGGTGTCCCCCATCATCCTCTCCTTGGAAAGGTGTCATGATAAACAGCGGAAGGACGAGTGTCCTGTCCCGGGCGGGGAATGGGAGGAGGGGGGACCGAGCACAGAGAGGCTCCTCCACTGACCCCAAGACACACAGCCAAGCACCTGCGGCTTCCAGGGAAAGGCCACCTGTTGCTGGCACCCAGAGCTTCCTCTGTCTTGTGAAAGTTGTTCAGAACACTCAGTCCTATAACATGCCTCTTAGGAACCTGGAAGAGTGGAAAAATTCAACAAATTGATGTTGGTTTCTGAGTAGAAGAATCACGAGGGGTGTTTTGTGTTTGTGACTCTGTGTGTGTGTGGGGGGGGGGGCGGGGTGCCTGCCTAAACACATATGAAATTGCATATTTTCCTGAAATGCGTTTGCATATGTTCCTGGAGGTGTGACATTTAAATCAAAGTCTGTCATCTTTGCCCGAGAAACCACAGACAACTCTCAAATGGTTGTCCGCTGCCACCTGGCTTGGTCCACGTATGACTCATAAGTCCACGATCGACTTCTTTATCTTAAGCTGTGTTCGTTGGACTATTGATTTCTCCCTGTCCTGGCTGCCTGATTAAAAGTACTAACCAGGATAGGACTAAAAGCACAAGGGCCAGGACAGTGATGGCGAACCTTTTAAGCTTGGCGTGTCAGCATTTTGAAAAACCCTAACTTAACTCTGGTGCCGTGTCACATATGGAAATTTTTTGATATTTGCAACCATAGTAAAACAAAGACTTATATTTTTGGTATTTATTTTATATATTTAAATGCCATTTAACAAAGAAAAATCAACCAAAAAAATGAGTTCGTGTGTCACCTCTGACACGTGTGTCATAGGTTCGCCATCACTGAGCTAGGACATCTGGTTTCAGACTCCGGGCAGTTATGCTGGTCGGCCAGTGGGCTGGCACACGATCCTGGCCCGTGGTGTGCTCTGCGCTGACATGGGGCCACGGAAAAGGGCACAGAATAGCAGGTCCACGTGTGACAGGCTGGCGGTGGGCAGCTGTTGGGCTTTCATGCCTGGGCATTGGCCCAGGACTTCAGAAATGAGCTCCCGAGCTCTGTGGAGCTGTGGTGAGAGCTTTATAGGGGGGGTGGTGTGAGATAGTGTCCGAGACGTCAGCCCGATGACTGCACCTGTCCTCCCACCAGAGACACGGTGAACTGCTTCCCTTTAATACGGTGGTCCTCAACCTTGGCTGCACATTAGAGTCACCTGACAATCTTTTTAAAATCCTGATTTCTGGGCCTCAGAAATTTAAAATCGGGATTTTGAAAAGATTCCCAGGTGACTTTGTGCAGCCGAGGTTGAGAACCACTGCTTTAATAGCACTGAGCGACTCAGCCCTCTCGGTGACAAAGCTGACAGCGCTGTCTCTTCTGTTACAGGGTTCGCTTGTAGAGCTGTCGCCTGGAATGGTATTTTCACCATGAGTCAACAGGGCTACGTGGCGACCCCCCCCTACTCCCAGGCGCAGTCTGGGATGGGCCTCACTCCACCGCTGTACGGCCACTACGGGGACCCCTCTCACGCAGGGGCTCCGCCAGGTAAAGCCATAATCCTGACCGGGATGCGAGGTGGGCCTGGGGCTGAGGCGAGCGAGCTCCTGGAGGAGGAGCGGGACGTCTGGGATGGCCCGTGCGATGCAGCGCCTGAGACTGTAGGGCCTCCTGGGACAGGCGCTCGGAAGGAGCTGCGTCCTCAGCTTGGTGGCTGCTGGAATACAGCTCGTTTGGTTTTTAAATTTCGATGGAAATACAGACGCTTCTTAAGTGTTTTGTTTTAGAATTGCTCTTGTTTCTAATCAGTGGTGTGATGTTATTGGAAACACTCAATAAAAACCAGTATCTGTATCCACAGGCTAAAGTGGGTTTGGCAATCTATACTAATAAAAGGGTAATATGCTAATTAGACCGGGAGACCTTCCAGACGTCCTTCCGGACAAAGCCATGGTGGCGGGGTGGAGGCAGAGGCGGTTAGGGGCAATCAGGCAGGCAGGCATGGGAGCGGTTAGGAGCCAGCGGTCCCAGATTTCGAGAGGGATGTCCGACTGCCGGTTTAGGCCCGATCCCATCCCGAGGGGTCCCAGATTGGAGAGGGTGCATGCTGGGTTGAGGGACACCACCCCTCGTGCATGAATTTCGTGCACTGGGCCACTAGTAATTATAAAATCAATTTTGATTTTGGGAAAGTATTATTAGATTTGCACACTAAAGATTATTCAATGATAATAACAAGGTAAATGCAGTGTTGCCTTGAAATTATCATTGAACAATATTGGTTGCTTCGAAATATGATACCCAGCAGGGAATCTTGGCTTTACGGGCAAAAGTGGGGGGAAAAAGGAGTAACAGTGGGACTCCCATAGCTCTGGTGCCACTAACACCATGAGGCCGTCCCCTTTATCAAGGGGCTGCTCCGAGAGCAGGGTCCAGAGTCAGGAGTCAGGTGAATACTACCTTGTTTCAGGGCTGATGGGCCTACATTCCCTGGAAATATTTGTGTAAGACAGTTCTCTGGGCTTCGGAGAGAATGCTGAGCAATTCATTTCGAACGCTTGGTAGGAGTGGGCTGTGTATAACTAACTCAATGAGTGTCTGGGGCTCAGGAGGCCTGGCTCAGATGTGCAGAGCCCAGCTGAGCTGGGTACCATACCAGGTATGGAGGGTGGATAGCAGGTAGGGAAGGTGGATGGCAGGGAGGGAGGGTGGATGGCAGGTAGGAGGGTGATGGCAGGTAGGAGTGGAGGGTGGATGGCAGGTAGGAGGGTGGATGGCAGGTAGTAGGGAGGGTGGATGGCAGGTAGGAGGGTGGATGGCAGGTAGGGAGGGTTGATGGCAGGCAGGGAGGGAGTGCGGTGGCAGCGGCAAGGGCGAGGAGCCCAGCACGGAGACTCCTGGCAGCAACCACACGGAGTTTGTGGGGGGCATGTAGGGAGGTGGGAGGGCAGGTAGGAGGGTGGATGACAGGTGTGGATGGCAGGTAGGGAGGGTGGATGGCAGGTAGGGAGGGTGGATGGCAGGTAGGGAGGGTGGATGGCAGGTAGGAGGGTGGATGACAGGTGTGGATGGCAGGTAGGGAGGGTGGATGGCAGGTAGGGAGGGTGGATGGCAGGTAGGAGGGTGGATGGCAGGTAGGGAGGGTTGATGGCAGGCAGGGAGGGAGTGCGGTGGCAGCGGCAAGGGCGAGGAGCCCAGCACGGAGACTCCTGGCAGCAACCACACGGAGTTTGCCGCGGCAGGTGCTCTGAGATTGACTTTCCTGTGGAAAACCCCCTTATGAGTCAATCTAATTTGAAAATCCTGCGATGAGGCATCCTTGTCTTATCCAGACCGATTCTCCCAAACATTTATATCCTGTCTCTCTGGATCCTTTAGGAACCATTAGCGCAGTGGTTCTCAACCTTCCTAATGCCGCAACCCTTTAATACAGTCCCTCATGTTGTTCTGACCCCCAACCATAAAGTTATTTTTGTTGCTACTTCAAAACTAATTTTGCTACTGTTATGAATCGTAATGTAAATATCTGATATGCAGAATGTATTTTCATTATTACAAATTGAACATAATTAAAGCATAGTGATTAATCACAAAACAATATGTAATTATATATGTGTTTTCCGGTGGCCTTCGGCGACCCCTGTGAAAGGGTCATTCAACCCCCAAAGGGGTCACGACCCACAGGTGGAGAACCGCTGCATTAGCCTGTCTTTCTTAAGTTTCTCTTTGTCTGGTGGTTCATTCCCCTCAGGTTGATGTATCAGGATAATTACATAAATTACTCTTTTTTGAGTGCTCACTAAGTATCAAAAGCTGGTCCTGAAAACTTCAAGTGCATCATCTTATTTACTGTCCACTCAGCGCTGGGCAGTAGATGACTAGCCCTGTTTCGCAGTTAAGAAAGCTGAGAGTCCGGTGTACTCTAACTAGTCCAAGGCCACACAGCTGGTGGCGTGGCCAGGACTCATACCCAGGATCACACCTAAGTGTGGCACGCAGCATTACCCACCCCTCTTTCCTCTCTCCGCAGCCCTCTTCCAAGTGCTCACTTCACTCAGAGACTCTCACCCGTGCCTCTCAGCCCCCCGTGGCTCAGCGTCCTCCACACTCGTAGCCTGGGCCTCCTCCACTGTCCCTTCTCCCACCAGGTCATCGGTGGCCTCCGATTCCAGGATGCAGTAGACGCCGTCCTGCCCACTTGTGAATCAGACCCTGTTTATCACTTTTGTTCGTTCACAACCTTCTTGTGGTTTCAGTGACACTGTTACTTTTCTTGATGGCTTTCTGGCCACGTCTTTCTAAGGAGCCCCTTCTTCTACATGCCTGTTACATGTTGCTGTTTCTCCTTCCTCATTCCAGCTCCCCCTCTTTCCTCCTGCAGTGGGTCCCCTGAACTGCTTTGTCCATGTGAAGAGCTGTCCGCAGATCTGTCTGTAGCTCACAGGTCTCTCCTACGCTCCGCACTATATTTTCAGTTGTCCACTGTTGACGTAGGCACATCACACTCATCATGTCCAAAACAATTCACGATTCTTTTTTATAAAAGCCACTAGAGGCCCGGTGCATGAATTTATGCACAAGTGGGGTCCAGCCAGCTGGCCTGCCCTGATGGGGGCTGATTGGGCCAGGCTGGCCAGGGGGAAGGGCTGAGGGAGGTTGGCCACCAGCCCTGCCCTCGATTGGGGCCAGATTGGGGCGAGGCCAGCCAGGGGGGAGGGGCTGCAGGCGGTTGGACCATCCACTGATCAGCAGGTTGGCCTGCCGCAGTGCGCTTCATAGCGACGGGTCTTTCAGTTTTTCCAGTGTTCTGGTCACTTGGCTTTTATATATATAGATTCTTCTTGGCATTCTATATCTCACTCATTGGCAGCATCTTTCATTCTTTCAAATTAGTAACTTCCACTGTTAAAAAACACACACAAAACTCTCCCCTTTACCTTCTCCAACCCAAACAGTCCCCCAAAGTCTTCTGGTTAATTGTCCAGACCTTTCCCACCGGCTTCCTCCCCTCTGTCCTCCTGCCACTCTTCCTGGGCAACGTCATCCCTCACCTGGGTCACTAACTGGTCTCATAGCCATCATCTCCCAGCGCTGCCCTCTCAGACCCTCCGTCCTGGGCTGCGGGGCTTCATACCAAATCCAGTTCTGACTCCTGGGTGTAACCCTTTCTGGCCTCCCGTTGCCCTGATCAGATTGTGAGCTCCCGGGCCTTCAGTTGCCCCTTTTCTCTCTCCAGCTCCCCCGGCCCCTCCCACACCTCTGCTGCAGGGGCACTAGTTCCCCGTCACTTGGAGGATGGTTTGCACTTGTGCCCTGACTTGCACTCTCCCCAGAAGCCAGTCCGGTCCCACCTTGTCCCCAGCAGGGTCCCCCATGCTCTCCTTCAACCGGCCAGGTGGGTGCGTGCGGGCCTTTCTGCCCACGGCCCTTCCTCAGGCTTCTTTGTGAATCCGCTGCCCTAGGCCTGCCGTTCCTGTGCTGATGGTAACAGACAGCCTGGCACAGGGAGGGCACTCAGTGAGCCGGCCATTTGGTGAGCGCGAGTGGCAAGCTGCTGCGCTCATCAGCCAAGCACTCATACTAATACGTGAAAGTCGTCCCCGTGGGTCAAACCCTTCCGGCTTCACTGCTCTCCTGACTCAGTTCTCAGGGGGACACCGAGCTGCAGACTGCATGTACCCCTGCCGGTGAGCGGCCATTTGGTGAGCCGGTGTTTCGCTGGCTGCTTGGGGCTGTCCCTGAACTGGCTCGCCTTTCTCTCTTTGTGCTCAATAACCCTACATTCCTCTCCGGGCCTCCGGGTGATGCCGGTGTGGGCTTTGTGGCGGACAGGCAGGCGGTGTGGCTTCTTGGAGCATCTTTCTCCTGTAGGTCTGGAGTGCGGCCTTGCTGTGGTTCCTCTCCCACTGCGTTGCCCGGGCCCCGGGGAATGCCGGCGCTCTGACACCCATGGGACAGGCTGACTGAGCACATAGGGTGCTGTGGCGATGTCACGATGAAGACAGTACGCCTGCTCTCAGCCGGTACACTTACGAGTGGACATGCACTTGGGGCGGACAGCGACCGTGCAGGGAGCACTGTCACCCGGGAGTGGAGGGGTGGGGTGGGAGCACAGGGCAGGGCGCCCAACCAAGGCTTAGGGCTGAAGGGAACCTGGAGGGAATGTTCTGGAAGAGGAGTGTTGGCCGGGTTGGGAGGTGTGGCGGGTGTGGAGTGGAGCAGTGAGAGGTGCCTGCAGTGGAGGCGGGGCCTCTGGAGGCTTCCTGTGGAGTTTAAGGGCAGTGGTGGCTGGAGGCATTCTGAGCTGGGAGGGCCAGGGCCCAAGTGTAGTTCAGGAAGAGTTACTCTCCACGGGGTGGGGGGGCATGGGGAAGGAAGCGGCTGGGGCCCCACTTTAAGGGCCTTTGGGGGCCCCCAGTTCTTTGCCATGGGA